TAGTTTCACAAGGGTTAAATTAATATTGACTAGGATGATAATAGTTCCACAAGGGTTAAATTAATATTGACTAGGATGATAATAGTTCCACAAGGGTTAAATTAATATTGACTTAGGATGATAATAGTTCCACAAGGGTTAAATTAATATTGACTAGGATGATAATAGTTCCACAAGGGTTAAATTAATATTGACTTAGGATGATAATAGTTCCACAAGGGTTAAATTAATATTGACTTAGGATGATAATAGCTCCACAATGATTGATGTTACAATGTAGTGATTTTATCGAACATGTACTTCAACAACTATATAAGTACAGTGCAGTACAGTACTTGTTCTAGTATACTTTTCAGCTCGTGTAGCATGTTGATGTTATCTTGTAGCAATATTTTATCAAAGAGATGACAATATATTTCTAACTTGTATTATTCAGGTTGCTTCATAGTGAAAGAGGGGAAGTACCTGACGTACCAGCCATATATTTTTGTCAACCAACGGAGGAAAACTTGATACGAATCGGGCAGGACTTTAACGATGGCCTCTACTCTTCTTATTACCTCAACTTCATCTCTCCGATCAGTCGTCAAAAGATGGAGGATTTAGCTCTGTCGGCTTTACAAGCAGGATGTCAGGCTAATATTAAAAAGGTAAATTGTTACTGATTATGACATTTTATTTATTGATGGAGAACCAAGAGGGTGAAGGATGAGACCATGGTGTGATTAAGTGTGAGCTCTTATGTATTGTTGTCATATAGGAGGTATGTTTATAAGATTATAGCACTGTTTTATTCATCTTGCAGGTATATGACCAGTATGTTTATAAGATTATAGCACTGTTTTATTCATCTTGCAGGTATATGACCAGTATGTTTATAAGATTATAGCACTGTTTTATTCATCTTGCAGGGATATGACCAGTATGTTTATAAGATTATAGCACTGTTTTATTCATCTTGCAGGTATATGACCAGTATGTTTATAAGATTATAGCACTGTTTTATTCATCTTGCAGGTATATGACCAGTATGTTTATAAGATTATAGCACTGTTTTATTCATCTTGCAGGTATATGACCAGTATGGTTATAAGATTATAGCACTGTTTTATTCATCTTGCAGGGATATGACCAGTATGTTTATAAGATTATAGCACTGTTTTATTCATCTTGCAGGGATATGACCAGTATGTTTATAAGATTATAGCACTGTTTTATTCATCTTGCAGGTATATGACCAGTATGTTTATAAGATTATAGCACTGTTTTATTCATCTTGCAGGTATATGACCAGTATGTTTATAAGATTATAGCACTGTTTTATTCATCTTGCAGGTATATGACCAGTATGGTTATAAGATTATAGCACTGTTTTATTCATCTTGAGGTATATGACCAGTATGGTTATAAGATTATAGCACTGTTTTATTCATCTTGCAGGGATATGACCAGTATGTTTATAAGATTATAGCACTGTTTTATTCATCTTGCAGGTATATGACCAGTATGGTTATAAGATTATAGCACTGTTTTATTCATCTTGCAGGGATATGACCAGTATGTTTATAAGATTATAGCACTGTTTTATTCATCTTGCAGGTATATGACCAGTATGTTAATTTCATCAGTTTGGAGGACGACATGTTTACATTAAAACATCAGGGATCGGAGTCTCTCTCCTACTATGGTGAGTTATAGCTGGTAGTTTTACTCTCACTCTTAATATTTAAACATATGAGGGTATTCATTATCTTCCTCTCTTTAATATTTTTAAATGTTTTATGGTAAATAGTACATTCTGTGCTGTTTAAAAGTCAGTATGACATGTAAATACTGTATATTTGTAAGCAAACCCTGTGACTTATAGAACACATTTGGATAATTAGTGATAGCTTCTCTCAACATGGGTTGTTCACTCTCTTATAAAAGGGGTTTTAGGATAAAACTTATATTTTTCCAATGAAGAGGAATAAAATCTCTGCAGATAAATGTATTTTGAACGTTTTGATTATAAAAGAAGATGTTTGAAGTATGACTTAATACATTGCAGCCATTAACCGAAGCGACATTAAAGACTCGGACATTGACCTCATCATGGACTCTATCGTCGATAGTCTGTTTTCTGTATTTGTCAACCTTGGTAAGAGCTCTTGTACTGTACCTAAAAAATTTTTGTGTAAAAAAATCATGATAATTTATTATTGTAGTTAAAATAGTCACTGTTACAATATCTGTCCTACAGTGGTCCCTCGGTTAAGGAACACAATTTGTTCCAGAAGGTCGTTCGTTAACCGAAAATTTCGTTAACCGAAACCATTGTTTCAATGGGATTTTGGGTAATTGGTTCCAGCTCACCGAAAATTACATACAAACTAAAAATAAATGCAGTAAAGTACACTTACTTTAAGGTGTGCATGTAGAAGGCTCCTGGTTGATGATGATGGGAATTAGAATGGGGGTGGAGGAGAAGGGAGAAGAGAAGGCATTAGGGTGGAAGAGAAGTCATCCCATGCCGCCATTTCACCCATAAAATTTTAGTTCACTTGGTGTAATTCAAGATTATTTTGTTTAAATCAACACTGCACTGCATTATATATTGTCAATATGTAAAATAAACTTCAGAATGACCCATAATTGTACTGTAAAAATGTAAAAATAGTTTATGTTCAATAGAGTCTCAAGCAAGAAGTTTCCTCCACTGAGCAGGGACACACCGTGACGCCATTTTGGGTGAGTCAAGTGGCTGTTTGGCGCGCTAAAAACTAGTTCCCTGTACTTCAATTATGTTAAATAATTGTTAAAGTGACAAAAAACTTTAATATAAGACTTGGAAAATTATTGAATAGTACAACCTTCTTGATATTTACTCAAATGGTAACGAATTTAAGTCCTAAAACTGATTACTGTATTGGTGGACTAATACTACAGCTGGTGAGCAGGTAAAAGCAGGCGGAAACATGTTGGGAAAAATTCGTAAGGAATTCGTTAACCGAAATTTTTTCGTTAACCGAAGTGAAGAATCTTATGGAAGGTAATTCGTTAACCGAGGCGTTTGTAACCGAGGGATCACTGTATATTCATTCATATAACTATGGTAGCTATTTGTTATACTCACAAGATGCTGAAACAATCATCTTTTACTGCAGTTATAAGTTATAGTTTTACAGTGTAATGAATATGACAGGTCAAGTTCCCATCATCCGGTGCCCGAGGGGCAATGCAGCCGAGAGTGTGGGAGAACGCTTGGACAAGAAGCTTCGAGAGAATTTACGTGACACCCGAAATTCTTTTTTTTCTGGCCTCAGCACAGATTCATTTGCTGCTGGTCAACTAAGGTAAAGTTTTCCTTCTTATATGTACATACTACATAGGTGATAGACAATGTGAACTTGAGTGATAGACTGTGTGTACATAAGTGATGGTACAGTAGCTAAAACAACTATCTGTGCATACTTTGTGAGAAACAATATGAGACCATGGATGATAAATTTTGGTATATGAGGCTGTCACTAGTCACACGTAAGATGACGAAGCATGTCGACCCCCACCTGCACAGATAGTTGTTTTAGTTACTGTACATAAGTGATAGACTGTGTGTTAGTGATAGACTTTGTGTACATAAATATTATGTGTACATAAGTGGTAGATTGGATGTACATAAGTGATAAGTGATAGACTATGTGTACATAAGTGATGTTATGTGTATGTATGTAAGTGATAGACTGTTTGTATGATAATTATTTGTAAATGGAATTTAGCTTAAAAAAAGCACTGATGGTCTGTTTTAATTTGCTGTTGGAAATAAGGCACACCTTCGAACACTCTTATAGCTGACATTAACAAACAAATTAAGTAGAGCATTTTCTAAGGCCTTGTTTGGATACTTCTTAGGTAGTTACACAATTAACAGTTTTAAGTCAACTTCTGATGCATTATCCTTCAAAAGTCAGTTTTCCCTTAGCTTTCAAAGACCTCTGTTGGTTATTGTGGACCGTAATGTTGACTTGGCCACACCACTGCATCACACCTGGACCTATCAAGCTCTTGCCCACGACGTGCTGAACCTTAGCCTCAACCGGGTAACAGTCACAGAACAAGATGCTGCTCACCCAACCAATAGGACCAAGACAAAAGAATATGATATCAGTAACTCAGATGGCTTCTGGAAGGATCATAAAGGTAAGGATATTTTTTCTCTGCTAAATTACTGTAATATCTACAGTACAGTGAACCCTCGAAGATTCGGACCCTGTAAATCCAGATTTGGGAAGATTCTGACCCAAAATTTGTGGGTTCTGGGCTAAGAAGCATTCCCAAAACAGAGCAAAGAACCTTTTACCCGTTGGTGCTGGTTGACCTGGATTTTTTATTTTTTATTATTTATTTTATTAATTTATTATTATTATTATTTTTTTTTTTTTACGGGGATTAGCCCACCCGGGCACAGGTCACTGACTCATATTGGGACCTACTGTAGGGTGCGAAAATGTAATAATAATATTAATATTAATAATAATCATAAAAAACCGTAAAGAAAAAGAAATGATCAATAGTGAGAAACATTATATGTAAGTTGTGTTGTCAAAGAGAAACAATTGAGACCCTGCAATTGTGTGTAAATGAGGTAGAAAGTCAGATCAGCAACCTGGGACTTGGTCACAATTTTCGTGATGCCATATGGCAGCAGGGTCTACCATTACACAACACATTATGCTTCCAATATCTTCCCAGATGGTAGTACCTCCCTGTTTGGTATCTGTCTACTACCTACTTATTGGAAACATAAACAGTTGTCAATTGTTGTTTGTGGGAATATTTCATTCACTCTAGTAATGATACAATGTTTCTTATTATGTTATCGTAGGTAAATACATGGTTTATGTAATGTGTTTAATACTGGGCCGGTCACTGTTTTCAAATTAGACTACAAAATATGTATTTCTCCCATACGTATTTTGATTGTACACCTGGCAACGGGTGCAGGTAAGAGGAGTGAATAATGTGACAGCTTCGTCTGCACTTAGCTCTCCTCCCTCCCTGCTATATTTCACTGTTATTATTAGTGTTTACTGATATAATAATGCTTAATAGTGATTTATCATGGCATTGTAGCCAAGTTAGACTCATCACAGCAACCACCAGGCTACTGGGCCAAGCTCTGAGGTGTTATGGTTATTATTCAACTCGTATTTTCGGGGCGATATACGTAACTTTCTTCATGTATTTTTACTCATTTGCATGCACACACCATTCTAAATACATATTGTGAAAAAAGTAAATGAAATAATTGTCCTCAGGGCAAACCTGTACTGTACTCAAATGAACAAAGTTAAATACAAAATTTTTGTGTCTAGTGCAAATTATGGGATGTTTGTACTCAAATTAATCATTATCTTACAAGAATTCTAGCAATGTAAGTTATATTCTGCCTACCGGGTAATTATTTTAACGATATATAAGGACTGCTGTCTGATATATTTGTACAATTTATATTGTACTGTAGATTGCATTCTTTATATAGCTTTCTGTTGTACAAGTAGTACAGTACAGTATTTAACATGTAACTTTCTATTGTATAGGCAGTGTATTCACCTTGTAACTTATTTATTGCTACCTACTGCTCTGGAATACTAAGAACTATCGTATTCATATTTTGAAACTCATAAATTCTTTACTGTCACTAAAGGATAAATGTCTTGCTAATAATCTAATTGTTATCTCTCAAGCGTCCTACTGTTATGTCACATTACTTTATTTTTCTATAAAATATTTTTCTTACATTTCTTTTAACATTTTCATTGTCAGTCATTTACTTCTTCCTCAGGCAGTGCTTTCCCAGATGTAGCAGCAGCTGTAGAAACAGAGCTGGAAGACTACAAGAAGGCTGAGACTCATATTAAAGGCTTGAAAACTGACCCAGATGAAGATGCTATTGACCTTCTGAGTGACAACACAGCTAAACTAACCTCGGCCATAACCTCTTTGCCGGAACTGATCAAGAAGAAAGCCGACATTGATAAACACATGAGCATTGCCATGGGTGAGTGGGTGGTAGTTTTTTCATGTTGGAGGAAGTATTAGAAGAGTAAGTCTAACCCACAGCCAGTTGAAGTGTATAGTAGTATAAATTAAATTAAAACTTCAATAATAAAATAAAAACAATCATCTGACATTCATCGCCATTGTTTTTTCTTTATTTTCCATGCCTGTGTGGGTTAGCCACAGTTACTTAATGGCAGCTCTTCTTGCTGCCCATTCTCTTGCAGTTTCATGTGTCACGCTCGTAACTCTAATATAATTTCTTCCAACCTCTCCCCAATGTCATTCTTGCCCTACTATGGGCTGTCCTCCTTTCCAAATATAGGCTTATGCATCTCTTGACCCAGTTGATCTCATCCATTCTCTCCACATGCCCAAACCATATTAGCCTGCCTCTCCACATTCCCAGATCATCTCAGCCTGTCTCTCCACATGCCCAGACCATCTCAGCTTGCCTCTATGCAGGACTTGTCCAATACTCAACTCTCATTACCCTCCTGCCCTCTTAAGTTCTCAACAGATCCCCCCCGTCTTTCAGTACCACATTACACTTCCACCTCATCATTCTTATTTCAGCTCACTTAGTCATCGTTAAGTGACCATGTTTCACTGCCATAAAACATCTCACACCAGCCACATACATTATTCTTTTCACGATTGTTGTCTGTGAGGTTGGAGTCATAGACCATGTTTTCTATAGACTTTATTATAACAGCGTCAGCTGGGCACTGGCCATCAGGCGCTGCCAAGGACAAGCCCCCCCACTCAACATGGGAAAACATATCGTACGATGGTACACTCTTACATTTCCCCCCCAAGTTAAAAGGAAATGACAATGCACCTTTGAACTAACAAAAGGAAAACAATGCATTCATAAAAACAACAATAATGCAGGAAAAACCAGTCAAACAAAGGAAAAAAAAAACAAAAACAAAAAAAAAACAAAAAAAAACTCTAAACTGATTTTACATCACATACACTACACCACGTAGTCCGTCAACCAGCCCGGAGGCCTACGGCCTCTCCTGGGCCTGGCCGCGCTCGACTGGGGAGGGGCCGTGGGTGCGGAGGAGGGCGCGGGTATGGAGGGCACAGCGGAAGGGGGCCCAGGAGGCACAGCTTGGTGCACCACCGGAGTAGTAGGCACAGGTGTGGAGCCGTTTCGCAAGTGGCGTCTGTTTCGGATGGACACCCTGCCACTGCCACCCAACCTGACGGCATACTGCCTGTGAGGGCGGGCTTCCACCACTATGCCTGTCCTGTCCCAGAGCTTGGTAGCTGCGTCCTGCACACGCACCTGCGTGCCCACGACTAGAGGAGCCAGCTGGCGGGATACCTCCCTCCGCGACAGGACCCCATCCTGTGTTTCGGCCAAGTGCACCTCCCTCATACGAAGTGCCCGCCGCCAGTGCTGGTCCACCTTATAGTGCTGTCTGGCCACGGGAACGCCGTCACGGAGCTGGCGGCCGGTGGCAAGTTGGGCGGGCGACTTGTTCACCCCCCGCAGAGGCGTGTTCAGGTACTGGAGGAGGGCCTGGGATGTCCTATCGCAGTCCAGGCTACCCCCGGGCCCAGTATTATCCCTGAGGAGCCTCTTGGCAGCCTTGACCCCAGCCTCTGCCCTGCCAGTGGACTGGGGGAAGTGGGCCGACGAGAGGCGCACCTCGACCCCCCATGACTTGAGGAAATCTGTCATCTCAAGGCTGGCAAGGTTGGTACCTCCATCTGTGGAGATCTGCTCAGGTACCCCCCACCTCGTGAAGTAGGCCCGCAGACTGGCGATGATATTTCCAGAGGTGGCCTCGTTGGGGAAGTGGGCGATCTCCAGCCAACCTGTCAGTCGGTCAGCATATGCTAGGTACGTGCGGCCCTGCAGGTGGAACAAATCGGCCACCACTTGTTGAAAGGGATAGTCTGGCGCTGGGGTCAGAACCAACGACTCCGGAGGCTGGGAAGGGGCGTGGGTCGCGCAAGCAGCACACCGGGACCGATGATACTGCAGGTCACCCTCCATGCCAGGCCAATAGACAGACTGCCGGGCCCGCCTGAGCATTGAGTCGAGGCCCTGGTGCCCCACATGCAGGTTAACGGCGACCCGGTGGCGGAGGGAGTCGGGGATGACAAGGCGCACGCAGCCCTGGTCAAAGGTGTAGGTGACCAAACCCCTGACCACAGCCAACCTGTCCCTCACCGAGAAGTACGGGCGCAGACAGGCCACCTCCAGTGACTTGTGGGGGTGCCAGTCGCCCGCCAGCACCCTCGACACTAGAATCTGGTACACTGGGTCGTCCGCTGCCGCTTTGCATACTGTGTCTTCGTCCATAATGATGCACCCATCCTGATCCAGTGCTGCGATTGTGACTGCACACACTGCAGCGCACAGGTCCTCCTCTTGGTCCATGTCCTCCGCATCAGGCGCCGCCCTGAGGGAGGGGAAGCGGGATAGGGCGTCAGCTGCACAGTTCCGCTTCCCTGGCAAGTATTTGACCGTGAATCGGTACTGCAGGGTCTTCTCCTTGAGCCTGAACAGGCGCGGATTCGCCACATCCGTGAAGGCTCTGTCCCCTAGCAAGCCAACTAAGGGGCAGTGGTCCGTCACCAGAATGAGGTTCGGGCAGCCAAGGAGGAACAGCCTGGCCTTGCGCAGGTACCACACCACAGCCAGGGCCTCCCCTTCTACTGCAGCATAACCGGCCTCGGCCGTGCTCAGATGTCGGCTACCACACAGAGCCAACCGCCACCCTCCTCTGCAGCAGAAGGGCGTCTCTGGAGAGGCACAGGCACAGTATTGTTGCAGGACGACGAAGCCGATGCCCTCCCTGCTCCAATCAGTGACAGCTGCCGTAAAGGCCTGGATTTGTCGTAGTACACCAAGCCGTCTCTGGCCAACTGACAGATGGTGTCCTGGGCCTGGCGAAACTTGAGCCGCAGCTGGTCGTCCCAATACACCTGCTTGCCCACTGGCTTCTTGAGGAGCTCACGGAAGGGCTCCATCACAGGTGCAGTGGCAAGGAAGGGAGCCAACTGATTAACCAGGCCATGCCAGGACCTGATGTCAGTGATTGATGGCTGATCCGGCATGGGGAAGTCCTTGATGGCTGACAGACGTTGGGCAGTGGGCTGGTACAGGTCCCACCTCAGGAGGAAACCCACAAACTCAGCTTCTCTCCTGCAGAACAAGAACTTTTCTGGTTTCAGCGTGATACCTGTGCGAGCGCAGGTCTCCAGAAAATCGTAAGTGTGCCAGAACGCCCCCTTCACACTGGAGTCATAGAGGAGAGTGTCATCCACGCACTTGTACTTGCAGGGCACATCCTGAATAGCGTCGTCAAACCTCTTGGTGTAAGCATCTGACGCTGAGCAATGTCCCATGGGCGTCCTGCAGTATCGAAAACGTCCCCACGGCGTGATGAATGTGGTCAGGCGTCTACTCTTCTCCTCCAACTCCACTTGATGAAATCCCCAAAAGGCGTCGGCGACGGTTTTGAACGAGTGCACTGGCACCCCAGACACCATGTCGAATGGTGCAGGTGTGTGGTGCGTCTCCCTCAGACAGCTTGCATTGAGGCGTTGGAAGTCCACAGTGCGCCTGGGCTGACCGTTTTTCTTGGCCACCACGACCATCCTGGCGCACCACTCCGTAGCCTCACCAGCAGGCACTGGCTGGATGACGCCTCTCCTGACGTCCTCCTCCAACTGGGCCTTCACCTCCGCTTTCCAGTGTTTCGGAACGGGAGCGGGTGTGTGACAGGCATAGGGGGTCGTGCCGGGCGTCAGGTGGATACGGTGAGGGGGACCAGTCATGACTGGCAGTGGGGACCTGCTGGTGTTGAATGCGGTAGACGAAAAGTGCGTGAGTAGCCATGCCTCCAGCCTGGCCACATTCTCCTCCAAAGGAGGCAAGGGTATCTCAACTGGCCTCGGCGGGAAACGGCTGCTCTCAGGTAAACGGTTCGGAGGTATATCGTCGGCAGTGTGCCGCTCCCCTCCATCGCTCACGGCAGCCACAGCACGTCTATGGAGCGGGAAGTCGACAGGCACCAAGTTGAGGCACTTGCAGGCCTCCAATGACAGATAGAGGGCCTTGGCTGTCTGCACGAAGTAGACCTCCTGGACGGTGGACCCCTCGTCCACACCGAGGCGGCAGGGGGCGGACCCCAGACACTTGAGCTGTTTGTTCGCCACGTCCCTTAAGCCATTACGGGCCCGAAGTTGCCCCGGACACAAACCGATGTCCCGGAGCAGGGATGCGCCTGCCACACACACCATAGCACCCGTGTCGGCTACAGCCAGCACAGGGGTGGCGGGGGAATTGCCCCCGGCCTGGGACACGAACACTTGTAACCTGGGGTGGCGGGATAGCTGGGCTGTTGCCACTGTAACAGCGCCTGACACATCCACAGGAGCACTTAGGGCTGACTTACTCCTACAACACCTTTTGAAGTGACCAACCTTACCGCAATTGCGACATGTAGCCCCACTTGCAGGGCAGTTACTTTTACCAGGTGCATGTGACACGCCGCAATTACCACAGTGTCCTCGACTTGGGTGTGGAGGTCGGGCGGCAGCTACCTCAGGCTCACCGGTGACGTCATCACCACCCGCCACTGCCTCCGCAACTGTTCCCACCACTGCCTGGCCAGACGTACGACCCAATACACCAGCATCTCTCACTGCTGCCTCAAATAACATGCATTTGTTTCTAAGCACTTCAACACTATTATAACTAGAGTACCCCTGGAAAATTTCCCTTTTCAACACTGGGTTACTCAGGCCCACCATAACTTTACGTAATAGCATGTACTCAGAGAGGTCGTTATCACAGGTGGGACATTTAAACTCACACTCCACTGCTTCTGAGAAGCATCGTTGAAAATACCTTTTCATGGGCTCCTCTTCACCTTGTTTGCTGTTGAAAAACTCGTTCCATTTCACAGCTTGGTTTGAAGATTGAAGAACCATTCCACTGATGGCGTCCAGGGCTTCTATGGGCGAGAGCTGCTCCCACTGACCGCTGGGGTATCTCGAGTCAATCACTCTTTGGAGTGCGGGGACGCAGTTCAGGCGAATGTGGAGTGTGGCCACCAGCTGTGGCCACCCGTTCAGCAGCACCCATGACTCCATGG